TTTGGGTGTCCTTAGAGAATTCTATCAAATTATGTGTCTCTCTCCTTATACCTAAGACTATAGTCGAATATGAGTTACATACCACTAATAACTCCCTATAGGGATGTCATACAACTTTAGAAAGTGTTTATAATGCCTCATTATCAAGGCTCATTTTTCCTACTTATTTTATTATTCTTGTTTTTCTTCCTTAATTTCTATTATTGAGTTTTTTTTGTTTTTTTTTTTTTTCCAAATGTTTCTATTATTATCGTGCCCCCCTTTTGTACTATATGTGACAATTTGGTATCAGAGGTGAAAATGCATGGAGATATAATATGGAGTATATTTGAGGTGAAAATGGATGACTTCCTTAAGTAATGGAAATTAAGACACAATTTGCAATTATAGAATGCAATAGGAATTGCATGTTTAGGACCAAAACTTTTCAGTTGTTTTGAGGTGTTGAAAGAGTTGCACAATTATTTGACTTGAGGCTAGGTTTCAAGTTTGCAATGAGGACAATGGAGTTAGGGGTGGCCACAGATTTGATTAGGCATCAATTTTAATTCGATTCGCTTTTGTTACGGATTAGAAAATTTTAAATCTACCATCGATCTGTGAGATAACGGATCGGATCCGCAGATTGAAACTTTTCTAAATAGTTTAATATTGTTTATTTTTTAACAATAGGCCAATAAATAAAATTTCAATTTAACGACACTAATTTATATATTTAAATGATCATTAACTAATACATTCTTAGAGTCGTTAAATGATTATTAACTAATTAAGTTAACTAATACACTCTTTAAAAATATATATATAAATTTCACGGATCGGATAGGATTGAATTCATGGATTGGATAAGATTTTAACAGCCCCCAAACCACAATTCGATCCATGAGCTACATATTCAATTTTTTTGAATTTGCCACCGATCTATAAGTGTAACAATTTGATCCAAAATTAGATCAGATCGGATTCACGGATTATTTGACCACCCCTAAATGAAACAAATGTTATTATTATTTATGAATTCTAAATGTTGAGAATCTCACCCCTTATATTTTATTCATCGAAAATTCATATTTGTTATAATTATTGTATTCTAAAAAATCTATATATGTTTCATGTCAATAAATATATTCTTATTTTCTGCACATATTGTATTATTGTGTATGATCATTGAACATGTTAATAAAATTAAATATTCCAAGTTTTAGCAATAACGAAGCCAATGTGTTTAGTATGCTTAGTTACCATTCTTGTTATGGTTTTTAATTAGGTTGGTGACAGCCTGCGTTCATTAGACTGTTTGGTGTCACTTTGTACCTGAAGAATATAATAATGGAATTCAGAAGATCTTAGATTTGTGTTATGTGTGATCTTTAAATTTGTAATCTTTTATAATAAACAGACAACAATAGAGAAAAGTAAACCTGACTGCTGAATTTGTCTACTTTTGAAATTGCATTTTGTTATATGCATGAGTACAGATAATGTCACTACTCAATAGGCGGTAAAAACAGAATGGGCCTAGGAAATAAATAATGGTAAAAACAGAATGTTTTTGGTACGAAAATTGGAGTGAGATACCAATAGGCATTGATTTAGACGGTAAAGGAGAGTCGTGGTACAATCAACGATTACAAACACTCCATCAAAATAAATGAATCAATTTTTTTATTGTATTATAGGTACATTTTACTTTGGTGGAATGTTTTTTTACCGTTGATTGTACCCATCAGTGTTAGGTTTAGCATTTGAACTCTATCAAAGCAAATGAATTAGCTTTTTGATTGTATTATAGGTGTACTTTGTTTTGGTGGAATGTTTGTAACTATTGATTGTACCCCGTCTGTGTTAGGTTTAACATTCGAACTTTATGAGGGATAAAATTATGGGGGTGGTGGGGGATGTGCGTTTGCTTGAAAAATAAAAAATAAAAAGAAACGAAATGGGATGATCTCCATCCTCCTAATGCACAGGAAAATTCAGGTGCAATGGATCTAATTTTTACGAAGTGAGATGATCTCCACCATCCTAATGCACAGGAAACTCTAGATGCAATAGAGAGAATCTTTACAAAGTGAGATGATCTCCACCGTCCATGTGTAGAGAAAAATCTAGATGCGGCGGAGAGAATCCCTTCCCCACTAAAATATTTACTATTCCAAGGGTAGAATGTGATTCATCTCTAGTGGCTGCACCTTAATTGCTAGCATGAAAATAGCATAAAGCTGCAAACAAACTTCAATAGAGTGTTGATTTGGAGCAATTCTTTTTTGAAAGACCTCTCAACCTTTACATGATTGAAATGAAGACATCAGAATTTTTGGTTTGGAAGAAAGGAAAACGGAGAAGAAAAAGAGAGCACATAGAACTTTTTTTTCATAATGCTCATTTTGGACTGGTGTGTCAACACTGACTTTTTTTTTTTTCTCTGATGTGCTCAGAATATTGGTAACTCACTAGGAAACCTAATTCAGGTTTAGAGAGGATAATAAGTGTCACTTCATTAGACTTACCAATAAAAACCTAGTCCATTGAGTTGATAATTGACACCCATGACCTAACCATAATAATTTCTCACCAGCGAAACACACCTTGACAAGTTACACTGAAAGTAAGAGAAATTACCACATCCAACAATGACTTGAATGCAGATTCTCAGCTTTTTTGTAGACAGCATATTCACATCTTATCTTTTCTTGGCAGCACAGTCTATAGAGTTGCAGGTCACAAGAAAGTGAATATGCTCTCTCTCTCTCTCTCTCTCTCTCTCTATATATATATATATATATATCTGAATTATGAAGCATTACTACACCAGCTCTAGGTTGGGAAATGATCAACCTAAGAGGATGGTGAAAAATTAGTCCTATGGTAATGAGTAGTATCATACTATAATGTTTTTTTCTGTCAATCAAACAAGCATATCATGTGAAAAACCTATTAACATGTTGAATCACATCACAGAAAATAAGAAGATATAATGAAATTATTCTTTTTTATTTAATCACCTGAAAAATTAGGAATAGAAAAATCTAGGACTCGGTTTGATAAGAAGGAATGGATAAAAGAAATGAAATAAATAAAAAAAAAATTATTTTAGAGACCAGTGAAACACAAATTTATTTTACAGTTTTATGGCAATTTAGATATATACAAATATTTTCTAGTAATTTTCATGCTATTCAAACTATAAAAATAACATTTTCTTACAACTTTCTTGAAAAAAATTCATGGTAACCAAATGCATGCTAGAAATTCAAATTTTTTTTCCTTTTCACTTTCCACTATTATCTTCTATCTAACCAAACGAAGCCTATAGTAATATATACTTTAAATAACTTCTCTTGTTCCTGCATTCCCAAATCATTTTTTTCGAAAAATTCAATCTCTAATGTTATTTTCGCAAGAGAAGAAAAATGATGTTATGTTTGGCAGCACCGAATCGACACATTGATTTGGGATTGAAATAATTTTAATACAGAGTTTAAACTAATTTTTCTAATTTTAAATCCAAGACACCGATTTAATATTCCCAAATATAACAAGAGGGAGTTGTTTTCCCTATTCTATTCCCATCCTTTCTGCAGACTAAAGGTTTTAATTTCACAGAATACCATGCCTAGGATTTGTAATACAAAATAGTAGTATATGCTATCATCAAAATTTAAGTATACACAGAAAGAGTTCAACATTAAAAGCAAAAAGAAGAGTAGAAGACCAGAAAAAAAGTACAAAAAAAGAGAGCAGTTAATTCAAATACTTTTACTGCTGTTAATTACACCATACGCAGAAGATAAGAGTTACCATCAAGAAATCTATGTGATGAGTTATAAAATCTAATGCAGAAACTGGTTTGGTTAGTACAATGTCCCATGTGAAAAGTCAAATTTACTCTCAGAAAATGCATTCACAGTCCATAAATGCACACTTGATTTTAGGAAGCAGCTTTAGTACCAAAAATTTAAATGATGACAAAAAATGGTCCATAATGAATCCAAAAACTCCCATTGCCCACTGACAATGAATGTGACAAATAGTCAGAACTTGAACCACCTGTGTAAAATACTTCATATTGCTACAATTTAAAGGCCTTTGGGCAATACCCAACCCAACCGCACATGAGAGGCTAATTCATTTGAAAAATCTTAGAAAAAATAAAATTGAGATAAAAAGAGAGAATAGAAAATTAATTTAAGAAGATCAACTTTCTTCTTAAAGCAGTGTTACTGGGATTGAGCAAGGATGAGAAGAATGATGACAATGAAGATAACACTCAAGGGTGACAATTCATGTTCGGTAGGTCATAATCATATCACATCGACTTAAGATTATTCTATTAAATAGGTATATTCAAACACAACCAGTTCAAAAACCGTGTCAATAATTTTCAACATTATTCCTACCTGTTCATTAAACAGAATACACATGTTAACCTGTTTATCAAAACAAGACATTTAATACTCAATACAAATATTTAAGTAAAAATCATAAGACATAATCAAGGTTTCCGTAAATTGAATTCGGCATCCCTAAATTTCCACTATCCAAAAACAAAAATGGACTTTAAAAATTTTGAAATGAAGAAATCTTTATAAAATATTGTAATATCAACTAATGAAAATGAATTAAAAGAGAACTAAAAAAAAGTATATTGTAACACTTTTACATGAAAATAAAGAAATCCTGTCTAAAAAAGGAAAATAAACATGCCAATTGACAATATGAAAGAATCTCACATGTACAAATAAAAATAAAAAATCTCTATGAGACAACTGTTGACTATCCTAAATGTTTATATGCAAGAATGATTGCGTTGGTCATTGTCTTAGAGAAGAAGACTTGGCTGTTAAACCAAAGGCTGGTCCCCATGGCCAAGCCAGTGCAGTTTTGGTCTCAATACACAGACCCCCACCACAACCCTACCTCTTCTAGTTCTCACAAATGGTCAAAAATTATGTCAGAAAAAATATTAGCATATATTTACAAACTCAGAAACATCACCATCAACACAAAGCAAGGAAATAAATGTTCCATTTCCATTTCTTCATCGCAATAAATGCAAAAACACAGGAAGAGACGAACACAAGAAAACAGAGAAGTCACCTTTGCTAGAGGAGGATACAAAGTTCAATTTCTACAAATATGGACAAGAAAGAAATTTTCAGTAAGCACAGGAAAAGGAAATCAAGGGATTCAATTTATCACTGCCAAATTACATTGATGAAACCATCATAGCCCTAAATATTATACTTTTCCCCCAATCTCCTATTAATGGGTTAGTGTGTAATACTTTGGCTCTGTTATGTTACAGATCATTAGATTACACATCTTTGGCAACTCCTGTTTCTTTTTACATGGATCAATAGAGGTTGGTGGAAATGAGCGATGCTCGCTAGTCCCACTTACCGAGCTTCAAAATCCTCGACTTTTGAGATCGGTGAATAAGAAACTCACAACAATGCAAATACTGCTTATAGATCCACTCTCACCCATTCGTAACGTCCAGGGAGGGGCGAATCATTCACGAAATCAAAGTTGTACCTGCGCCGAATTAGAGAATGTGAGGCTTCATTACTCAATTGGTGCATGATAATTAATCTAGTAGAGATAAAAGAGAAGGAAATAGTCTTAGTTAACAAGTAGAAAGACAGAAGCAATATACTTTTCAGAAAAAAGTCTCTGATGCTGCTGCTCTGCAAAGGCGAAGAAATCCTCTATCTCTCGTGTTGTTGGGATGTTTCTCTGTAAAGCATCCCGATTTCTACGATTGACTGTACTCGAACTTTTCGGCCTCGTAGTAGAACCGGGCGTACCAATGGTGTCAGAATCCCTCATCAAGCTACAAGGCGTGCTTTCCCTGGTGCTCCTGTTAACAATGCTATATTAGTCAAATTATGCCATTGTATGAGTAAAACTTATCGGCAAAATGATCACACTTTACATATATAACACCTCTGAGGCACTCGAAGAAACTTGGCTTCTCCTCAGTCATCCAGGAGGAATTTATAAATAAGTGTGGCAAAAGAAACTCAAATCCTAAGGTACTAACATTTTATCCAGAACCAGAATGATTTTGGCAGAAAAGAGCAGTACAACGGGCATGAGATGCTATTTGCCACTAACAAATAGCCCCAAAACAGAGTATCCCACATACTTTTTCAGTCTGCCATGGACCATATAATTATCTTAATATATATAATATATATTTACATATATATCTGGCTTAGTACTGGTTACTTTTGATAGTAAAAGGACTAGTTATTTTCACGTTTCCTGCAATATGAATACAATGAAAAGTATTTATGGCTAAATCAAATTTGAAAATGACCTCTGAGGAAGCAAAAGTTGATTATCATTACTTATAATCATAATTAAGAAAGCAACATTGAGATGCTAACACTTTCATACAATCTTCAGAAATACAGTATCATAATAGAACCAAGATTTTTTCATATTATTTTTTATGGTACACTCGAAGAAAATAAGAGCATTAAAGCAACTTCCTTGATAGAGAAAACAACTTGCACCATAAATAGCTTTGCTGGGCCTATGTTGCAGAACAAGATTGTTCATTTCATTAAAGAAACCTCTCAACAGTCACAAACATCTGTATCCTTTTTCTCTTATACAGTACTCAATACCCATGTTTCCGACCCAACATAATACAAGAGATGAAAAGTCAGCATGCAGACACTAACCTAAATACGACAGGCTTTCAAAGAAAATGTTTTTTTTTTTTTTTTTTTTTTTTTTTTTTTTTTTTTTTTTTTTTTAAATAATACTAAGTTTAATTTCAGAACACACAAAGAAAGACATGGTTCAGAAAAAATTATAACTGAAGGATTTTTTTTTTTATTTTTAAATAAAAGAATAAAAACGTAAATATTGTAGTAATTCTTCTTAGTAAGTGCCATAAAAGAAAACCGCACAGTAGGAGGCAGGAAAAAAATATATATATCTCAAGTTGCAAGAATGAACCCCAAAAAAGAAAAGAGCTGAAAACTATCATAAAGCTATCATCCCATTAAATGAACAGATTCAAAGTAATAAAGTGAAAAAAAAAAAATTATGTACTAAGTACCCAATATGACTAACCAATAAAATAATTATCATTTTCATAATGAAAAACTTCAATATGATGTATATTTTTTCCTATGAGAAAAGTGGTACCCACAGGGCCAACGCAAAAGGCAAAGAAAAGAAGCTCTTTTCTAAAATGTGAATATAAAAGCTTTCATCAAAGAGTTCTTTAAGACAAAAGCCATAAGAAAAATAAAAAATACATGAAACCCCCAAAAATAAGACCTCGTTTTAAAAAAAAATAAATGAGTGAAAGGAACCCAAATTAAATTGAGCTCCCTCCGCCATTTCCCTTTCTTTTTCCCACTCTTTCTCGAGAACCAAACGTAGTGTATTAACTCTCTCCACCCCTTCCAGAACAGGGAAAGAAAAAAACTAACCAAAAAAATAATAATAATCAGAAACCCCTCTGTATATATAATCAGTATACACATAATTACAATGAACCATGAAAACCCAGAAAAGAAATTAAGAGATAAAGCAAATATACCTCTCTCTGCCTTCAAAGTCCAAATTGTTCTCTCCAAATGAAGCCTCAATTCCCCAATCATTGTTTTCCTCTGTCTCATGTTCTTTGCAAAACCCATCTTCCTTCTTGGAACAAGTAACCGAGACCGACCCAACAGAACCCGAGTTCACCGAACTCAGCCTCAACCTCGAGCTCACCCGAGGCTTCGAGAGATAATCAGATTTAGGGTTCTCTTTCCAACTCTCCTGCGCCGATTGTTGCCGTTGGTTCTTGTCGGTGGTCTTGTTGATCAACGGAGGCTTCTCGAGCCTTCGACTTCGGAGCTCAAGATAGGACGATTCTGGGTTCGGTGGTGGTGTGGTGGTCGATTGGAGTCTCTGCAAAGCTAGGGTTTTGGCTCTGGTTCGAACGCCGAGAGAGGACTGTGAGACCTCCATCACTGCAACGTCGGTTGTCATTTTAGCTTTTCTCATGTATTTCCCCATTTTTTGTAGCTCTCTGTTTCTTCACCTGTGTGTTTCTGTGAAAACTAGAGTTTCAATAAGAGAGAAAACAGAGTGTTTTAGAGAGAGAGAGAGAGGGGGGGTGGGGAATGGAAAGATGGGGTAATTTGTAAATGTTGAAGTTAGGGTTGGTCCCGTTGGGTTTTAAGGGAACAAACAGTACTTTCATTATCTCCTCACAAAATATCAAATATATCGGGACAGTTATATATTTGGTCTTTTTTTTTTAATAAGTAAAAGTGAAGAGCAAATTTATGTGTTTTAATTAACCAAAATAAAATTTAAGCTGCTTCTTTTAATTATTAGCTGAGTAACCAAATAGGCCTTGAGTGACCGCGGTTTGTAGGAATGACAATGGGACGGTTTGTGGTGAACACATCATTCTTATTTTCATTCTCATTTATGTTTAGAATAGATGCATTTATTTCAACTCTAAAATAATTTATTAAATGGGGTGGGTGGGTGAATTTTGTAGAAATTTTTTCATAATTTTAATACGAATCTAACGAAAATAAATAATAAAACAAAATTTTAATTATTATCATAAATTTTTTTTTTTTCTTCTTATGCAGATAAAACCAAGATTCAATTTTTCAATTGAAACTCAAGACTAAAATTACTGTTGGAACATCAAAATAATATATAGTAGTTCTCAAATAAGAATAATTTTAAAAAATATTTAGTGATTGAAAAAGAATAAATTATGATTTGCTTAACGTATGTCTAATATTATTGAATATGACATAAAGTATAAGGACAAAATTGTAATTTATCAAAATAAACGGGCAAGGCGGGGTGTCCTTTTCCTATCCCCGCGCTATAATTAGGTTTTCAATTCTAACTCACATCCCCGCCCTAAGACCATTTAACCTCCCCATAATCGTTCTAAACGGGGCAGGGTGGGGTGAGTACCCAACGAGGCCTGATATTTTGTCATTTCTACGTTTGGGGTTGCTTTTCAATTGCTTAAAAGTATTTTTATTTTAAAAAATTTTGCTTTTTTATTTTTTAAAAAGACGGTCTCAACTGTTTTTTTAGAAAGCAACTATTATCAAATATGGTAATATTATATTAAAAAACATTATGGTAAAATTAGCAATACAAGTATTTAAAAAATATTATTATCAAACAATTTTTAAAATAATTTAATTATAAAAAATACTCATTTTAATGTTACCAAACACCTAACATGTTTTCACCAATCACAATTTTTTTTGACAACTTTAGTGACAAGAGCACTTCTTTTATTCTAACGGCACACCAAACGGGCTACTATTTAGGTACGTTTATCTAATTTGATAAATTATCATGAGTCAAAAACCTAATATAGAAAATAGTAAATTTGAATTTTTACCAGAGCTATTTGATGTCTAATTATCTTTTTATTTTTATTTTTGTTGATGATGGCTGTCTCAAATTTGTTAAAACTTAAAAGGCCTTTTTATTCACCATTCAATACATGCAGTTTCTCTGTGTTACATGAAAATGACAATTAAAAAAATAAAAATAAATAAATAAATAAAGAGTAATCCTTGATTGTTATGTAAAATTCTTGTCATTGTGTTTTCAGTTGTCTAATTATCTAAATCTATTTTTTTATCACTAAATATATTTTAAAATGAGTTTTCAAATTAGAAACAATTCTTAGCCATCTATATATATCATGCAGAGAATATGAAACGGCTTCCTTTTATGAGTAAAAACATAAAAAATAAGGCCACTTTTGTCTATTAACCTTTTTTTAGCTGTTTATGTTTGGAGAGTTTTTTTCTTTTCATTTCCCCCCCTTAGTTTATTTAAATTTTTTTCTTTTGTTTTTGTCATTGGCAAAAAAATTATCACACAGCATTCACACACTCATTTTGCTCATTTAGAGATTAAAATTTTTACCATCTACTTTTAAAAAGTAAATGCGATAAACACTATGTCACAAAGTCGTTGATATTTATTTTTTATTTTTTATTTTTGAAGTCAAACCATGCATGATCTATTTGATTAATTACCATAAATAAAATAAAATAAATGGGAAATGAACCTGAAAAGATATAGACTATAGTAATGCATAAATAGATAAATCTTATCAAATATAAGTAATCAAATGATTGCTTACTCTTTAATGTCACTATAGTCTTTTATTTTATCAAAGCATACATCATACTTTGACAGCCTTTCCTTTTAATTTTTAATCTTTTGTTGAAGACAAAGAAGCCATTGGAAAGTTACCTAAATTAAATTGAATGGAGAGAAAAGTAATTAAGTAATTTCAGCTTTACTGGTTTGCATTATTTTAGCAAATTAAGAATTGAAACCAATCAAAGTCACTTTTTCTTTTCAATCATACCCCTATTCCAAATGTCAATTGTGCATCCCACATTACAATATTTTCACTTATTTTATTAGAGGATAATTAATGGTGAGACTTCTACCCAGCTTTCTGTTCCAAGTCATTGGATTCCCTCCACTCACTCAATTCTTCTTCAGCATGCTTTTTATTCTTCTCTCTCCAGTCTCCACACACACACACACACACACACACACACAAATGTTTGAAGTTTGAAAAGTGAATCAAGTGGGCCATTTTGAAGAAGTAGAGGGGGGATAAGTAGCAAATATATAAATGATATTTGATGTTTGAAAAGTTAATGAAGTGGGCCATTTTTAATTTTTGAAGAAGTAGATGGGGGGTAAGTGCAAATCTATAAATGCCTTAGTGCCTTGACTCAACTCCTGTGTAAACTTTTGGTTTCTAATTAACAAAAAGTCTTTATTACTCGTGAGGGGTTGGAGTCTTCAAAGGATCATATGGACGTTTGTAGAGGGAAAAAAACAAAAAAGGAAAAAAAATAAAAATAAAAAAAATAAAGAAAAGTAACATTTACTTATTTTAAATATATATATATATAGAGAGAGAGAGAGAGAAAAAGGAAGGTGGTCAATTTAGATTTCAATACTTTTATCAATAAGTAGGAACAAGAAGAGAACTAAAATTTAAAAATAAACCAAGTAAGCTTAAGATTTTTATATCTCAAATATGAAAGGATGAAATTTGATAATGACATTCTTTGTTGTTTACCTTCTTTTTTTTTTTTTTTATAGTCGGAGTCATTTTATAGCAATGACACCTCCTTAGTTTGGTAAAGTTAATAAAGACACTTCCAACCATCATCTACCACATTTGACACATGATGAATGGTGCGTGCGTTTTGTTTCAATGTACAAAGTAAAATGTTTCATCAGAATCTTCTATTTTCTTAAGGTAATTCTTCCATTCACCCTCCATTTTGGGTTTGTAGTGTCCACGAGAGTTGCATGGCGACGACTTTCTTAGTGATGCTGGCAATTAGGGGTATAGGGCCAGAGAGGATTGGGGATTTGGTAGTGGTAGGGTTTGTGGAAGAGGCCGTGGAATGAATAGCAGAGCAATGGTGGCTTATTAGGGTTCGGATTTGAGATGGGAAAGAGAATAAGAGGGTGGGGAGAGAGAGAAATTGAATTTCTCATATGGTTGATATTTATTTTTATATCGAAGAATTCTGATTTTTTACAATTTTAATTAATAAAATATTAAAAAGCAATCTCAATTTTTAACATTTTTTTAAGAATTGTTCCGATCCAATTTTTGATCGAGGTATCATTGTTAAAAATGAATTAAGTTGTATTTAGCTGTCAAGAAGACAAAACCACAATTGTAATTTACACATAGAGATTTGAAACTATAAATTTGTTCCTACTTAAAATTTATTTATTGGTTGGTTACATGGTAAATTGCCTTTAAAATACAAACAGGCCGGTTGAAATTATGTGGACACCAATTCTGAAATTTTATTGTGTCCTTAAATATGTAATTCAAAAAGTGGTATGTAATAGGAAGAGTCTTATCACATTTATAGAGTGTCAGAAGTGGTAAACTCTATGGAAGATGTACACGCATGGATTTTCATTCTCTTCACCAGGTATACAAACTTTAGGACTTCTAGAGACACATTCACAAGAGACATGAATTTCATTCCTACCCTCATTTTAGAAAAAGGTACGCCTTTCTAGGACACCTAATCCCATTTACAAAAAAACACGACTTGGAATCTTATTATCAATCCCAATGACGTCTTCAGTTAAAAATAGGAGTATTTTTAGGGGTGGCCAATCCTAATCCAGTTCGTTTCTAACTAATTGAAAAATAATTTTGAATTTGTTATTAATTTGTAGAATAATAGATTGGATCAGATCAAATTTGTAAAATTACGAATAAGATATGTGGATTGAAATGTTTCCTTTCCGTGTACTCTATTTCACCCAACCGATAAAATTATGCTCCTACGGGGTTTTCTAATTATGGGGCATCTTAAAACCCATATATCAGGAGCTTTCTAATTATGGGGCATCTTAAAACCCATATATCGGCACCCTTCATCTTCATCTTTACAAGAGAAGCATCAACAACTATTCATCTCCATCTTCCTATTTCTTGCATTTGAAGAACCACGACTTACAGGAATTTTGAAATATGGAATTCTTTATAGCCACTTTTTTCCCTTCCAACTTGCATATCTCATAATTCATTGATCAATCTAGAGTTAGGATTTCTGAATCAATCATTATTTATCCATATATTTTACATAATATTGTCAATATCCTATTCTTGTTGCCATGGATATAGACTTTATGCAAAAATTTCTATTTCGATACCTATTGACGGAACACACCGGAATGAAGTGAGAGAGTGAACAAGATCAATATCCATTGGAATTGCATTTGAAAGCATAAAAAAATAAATAAATAAATAAATAAAAAGTGATTTTTGGGGCCGTTAACCCAAAGAAAACATATCAGATCTTTTTCAAAAATTCAATTAAGAAGAAAAGGGATGCCAAAATCTGAAAAGAAAGTAGAGGGTTGTGCAAAGGAGTGAGAGAAAATTTGAAAAAATTGAAAATTTGAGGATGTAGGAGTGAGAGAGGAAGCAGAGGAGTCAAAGAGCGCCACGGCCCGGAAAAATTATGAATGTAGGGAGAAAGTTTGGTCAAAGAAAACTAATAGTTTAGTGCCCGTGGAAATAGGTTTTTTATCGATATAAACTTATCGTCAAAAATATCATTTTTCTTTTATAAA